CCGTTCTTCGAGACAATGCAATACCAACAATATTTGATCTTACCAGTCATTTGAACAATCCGCATAGTAGACACAGAAAACGAATAAAAGAATTGGTATGTCTGTACTTTCAAATTTCCCACTTTATAATACTGTGAAATCGAGTATAGGTACATTTATGTTAAAAACTGATCCAAGTAACTGTTTCACAGGTAGCATAATGGGAAGTAAATGGTGTGATTAAGTAGCCTGGATATAAGATGGCCAGCCTGTTTTTTTCTTGTTGAAGTTTTAAAATCCTCCTCAGATTTAGCCAGTTAATACTCAGTGTTTGGGCCAAAGCATGCTGTTGGTTATAGTAGGCTAACTCATTCCCTTCTTTGGATTGGATAGGAATAGGGGAAGGGCTACCTTTACTTCACTAGAAAGGAAAATAGATCTGAGGTATGGTTCCAGAATTCACAAAGATAAAAAGGAAAGTGTAGACATTAACATGGATAGTTTCAGAGATAAGGATTCTGTCACGGTTAAATATTGACAAACTTAAAAGGCTTAAAACCTTTGAATAAGGCGTAACTTAAGTATGTTTTTATATACCTTTGATATTGTTCAGTTCTAATGATGAAAACCTGCCTGTTTTTTGTTAACCTTTGGTGGGAACAAAATTAAATTACTCAATATACCTTCTGTTCTCATTACCACTGGCAACACCCTTGTATTGTTTTATTATTTTTCCTTCTTCATACACTATTACCATTCACATTCTTTCTCTCCCTATTGATATACACACTAGTATATTTGGTATATGTCAAATCAATCTATTGTATGCTTTTTAAAAGGTGTATTTAACTTTCGTTTTCTTCTGTGTTTACCTTTCATATTTAGATTTTGATCCATTTGGACTTTGAGTATATGGTATCCAATAGTAATTTAACTTCGTTTTTCTTTTTATAGAAAACTAGTTTTTCCAATGTGGTTGGCTTAGTCAGCTTCCTATGACTGTAACAAATACATATTAATGCAAGGCTGTTTCTGGGTCTGTTCCATGCGATCATTCGTCTGCTTACATTGGTACCACTCTGTTTTTACTACCATGGCTTTGTAACTTAACCTTACTTTTATTTTATTTTATTTTTTGGTTTTTTGAGATAAGGTTTTGCTTTGTAGTTCAGGCTGACCCTGAACTCACTACGTAGCCCAGGCTAGCCTTGGAGTCTTGATGATCCTCCTGCCTCTGTTTCCCAAGTGCTAGCTTAACCTTACTTTTTTTTTTTTGGTATGGGGATCGAACTCAGGCCCTTGCGCTTGTGAGGCAGGTGGTGGCACCACTGAGCTAAATCCCTGGCCCTGCTTAACCTTACTTTTATTTATTTTTATTTTTAAATTTTTTTGGTACCGAGGATCGATCACAGGACCTTACGCTTGTGAGGCAGGCGCCAGAACCACTGAGCTAAATCCCCAGCCTTTAACCTTACTTTTAAATGGTGATTGTTTAACTTTTCATTTTCAAACCTTTCTTAGCTGTTTGTGAACTTTTATTCCTCCATATTAATTGGAGAATCCTTTTGTCAAGATCACCTAGAATAGACATCTTCAGTATATTAAGTAGTCCCATCCATTAATTTAAAAACTCAATAAAATATCTGTGAAGGAACTAATCATTCACAAAACTAAATACTGGTTCTTTGTAGAGAATACTTTTAGGAACAAAAAACTTGGAAAATTTTTTTTTTTTTTTAAGTGATGTTAGTGATAGTACTGGTCCTGGGGATTGAAACCAGGGTTTTGCACATGCTAAACTAAGCTACACCCCCAGCACTTTGTTGAAGGGGTGGGGTTAATTGAAACTCTTACAGGTGAATGTGTACTTTCTTCTTTAGATAACTTTCTAAATACATTATGGTTCTTATTAGTATAGAGCACAAATTCTGGTTGAGAGTGTTTCCAACAATTTTCAAGAACTTTTAAAATGATTAATCATAATAGTCTCCTGAGTTTTCTGTGCAACTGATTGTGTTGTCTACAAATAAGAAAATTGTCTTCTTCCAATTTTTTTAGGTTTTTTTTTGTTGCCTGTCTTATTGTTTAGTCACTATTCCTAGGACTGTGTTAAATAGTTCCAGAGATGTCACATTGCTTTTCCCCTTTACATATGATGTGTGCTGTTTATCAAATTTAGGAAATTCCCTTCTAGTCTTATATTCAAGGTTTTTATTGGACCTTATTGAACCCATCAGATGCTTTTCTTGAGCCTATCACATAGAAAAGTTCAGTTTTTTCATTCTTTAATGTGGTGAGTGACATTTCTGGATTTTCTGATGTCAAACCATCTTTGCATTCCTCTGATAAAACCTAATCAATCATAATACATTTATTTTTATATAATATTGGATTTGGCTGGTAAATAGGATTTTCCATTTTCTTTTATGTACTTGCCTTAATCTAGTTTTGATATCAAGATTCTATTGGCTTTATAAATGAGTTGGATACCTTTCCCCTTTTCTTTTTTGTTCCCTTAATTTTTCTAAAAAAGTTTGTATAATGTAGGTACTATCTGCTCTTGAAAGTTTGGTAGTAAAACCATCAGAGGTTTGGAGTGGGTGAAAGTTGCTTTTGATGCTATTCTAATTCGTTGGATTTCTCTTTCTTTTGTTTCTGAAAGTTTATGCTCTTCATCTCAGACTTTCGAGTGCTTGCCTTTCTCTGTTTCCAAATTATTTAACAGTCTTTTCAAAGACCCAATAGTTTTTGTCCATGATTGCTATACTTGTGAACTATTTTATTGATTTCTTCTTGATTTGGAGGATTTGATTTTTTTTCTGATACCTTAAATGTTTATCTTAAATGTTTGTGTTGGGGGAGTACTAAGGATTGAACCCAGAGCCTTCATGCTGCGCTACATTCCTAGCCCTTATTTGTTTATGTATCTATCTATTTCTTTCTTTTTTTTTTTTTTCTTGAGTCAGAGTCTTACTGAGTCACTGAGTTACCCAAGCTGGGCTCCAACTTGGCAGTTCTCCTGCCCCAGTCTCCCAGGGTGCACCACCACACTAGGCTTAGCTCATATTTATGTGTATTCACAGCTATGTTAAAGGTGCAATGCTTTCGCTTTCTAGCTCTTAGTATTTTGTAATATTACATTTATTTAATGTAGAATTACTTTTGTTTTTAATTTCCAGACATGGATTTACTTTTTTAACCATTTAATATTTTCAAACGTCACTAAGTGATGCATAGAAGATACTCACAATCTGATATGTTCTTTTTAGGTTTTTTGCATTCTTTAATGCTGGTACCAGCTTGATTTTTATTCCTTCTGAGTGGTCTGCTTTTCTTCATCAAAGTTTTTGTAATTTTCTTCTTTATTATTGGGCATTTAAAATTTTGTGTCTAGATTGAATTTTTTTTTTTTGGTACCAGGGATCGAACTCGGAACCTTGTGCTTGCGAGGCAGGCGCTGGAACCACTGAGCTAAATCCCTGGCCCTAGATTGAATTTTTTTATCCAGCCTCTTGACCATTGTATATTTGAATACTTAATCTTTCAGTTTTATCATAATTTTTACATTTTTTTTGCAATGCTAGAAATCAAACTAAGAGCACGGCACATGCTAGGCAAACAAATCCTGTACTATAGGGCTTCATTGTCAGCCCCAGGTCTTAATAACATCTTTTAAATTCTAATAAATCTTCAGTTTTCATTTTTTAATGTATGTCTTCTGTTTATTTCTACTTTTCTGCGACTGCTTACAGATGGATGCTGACACACAACAGTGTTCCATATCAGCTCTCTTCTTAGTAATATGTACCAGGGGTGAGGAGTTCAATCAATTCCTGACCTATAGCTGTCATTTCCCTGTACTCTCCCTATCAGGGAACCTCAGATAACATCACAGCAGGCACTCAGTTTGCCATCTTTGAAACTGTGTGGCCCACCAGATAAGGAGGGAAGTGCCAGATTGACATTTCTAGTTATCAGAGCTGTCCAGAAGGCATCTTGCTCTCTTCAGCTGTTGCTGGCACTGCTACTTCCCTGCCACAGAGTAGGAACAGGGTAGCTTATGATCTAAGCATCATAGGGGGTTGGAGAGAGTAAGGGCACAGCTATAAAGTTATTCCTCAGTCTAACCCTCCGTGTAGGTTATCAGTGCAAAGACTATGGAATGCATTCATTTCTCTTCCATGCTGGCACTATGTTGCCTTCTGCTTCCCAGGAATTTCTCACCACTTTTGTGTTAGTTTCTGTGATTCAGATCCTCCCTCTTAGGTAGTATCTTCAGGGTTATATTGGGAAGGAAGATGATTTGCATCCTCCTGAATTTGATCCCATGCATCATAGTGGGCTTTCATGCATTTTATTGTCTAGTAAACACCTGTAACCCAAACTTAGAGTGATTTAGCTAGAAAATGAAAATGGCATATTCTTTCCCCTCTAGGATTTATATGAGCTGGGCATCATTAGCAAATTATTATTCTGATTTTCCCATAACCTATCTGAAAAAAAATTCTATATATAAAAAAATTTATGCTCTTGAAAGAATAAAATTTAGCTCAAAATACACTTTTTATTTGTGAGTCTAAGATGATATATTAGAGATCTGTTTTCTTTAAAGTTTTTTTTTCTTATTTAGAGTGAAGATGAAATCAGGACACTGAAACAGAAAAAAAGTAAGTGATAATGTTAATGACTCGGCTTCTGAATGCCTTTTAAAAAGGCCTTGATCTGGTAAGGACAAATAAATATGTTTTATGTCCAAAGCTACCTTAAGAATGGATGTAAGAGTGTGGTTGGCTTTGTCCTGTGGTCTGGAATTAATCTGAGACTAAAGTCTTAATTTGGCTTGTCTTTGTCAATGCTGCTGTGCCACACATTTTGTCATGTGCAGGCCTCAGAAAGGTCACTCTTCCCTTCTGGATGTTCTGAGTGTGGTAGGGGTGGCACACTGACGGTGTCCCAGTAAAGGAAAGGGCAGCAGTAAGGGTAGGCATTACATCTCTGTCCATCTAACTTGGGGTAAATAAACCTTTGTAAATGTTTAAGGAATAAAAGCTGTGGGGCACTTGGCACACTGGGCATAGTGATCACAGTAGCCTTTTTGTAGGTCTTGATACCGGGCTGTGTTACTGAAGGATAAGGGCTAGAAGTTGTTTTGCTTCTTCTTGTCAGTTCTTTTGTTCCTCATGTATCTCCTCCTATTGCTGTCCTTAACATAACCTTTGACTGATGCTAAATCATTCTAACTGCCTTATTCAATACTAATTCATTTAATTCTTTATAATAGCTCTTTGGTAAACAATACTAGTTCTTTTATGGATGAGGAGAAGAAAGAAGGGAAAGGTACTCTATACAAAGGTAGAATGGCAAGAAAAAGGGTGTTAGGGGAAACTATGCTGATTTTGATGTTGGAGTTTCTGATAGCCAGTGATGCGTAGAAAGTAAACTCAGAGGGAACCACAGTAGCCAGAACTTGCAGTACTGTGGGCCGTTGGCAGTCAGAACAGTTGAAGAGTTTGTAAGTACAGTGGTACCTTGGTTCAGGAGCTCAATTCTCTCCACAATTCTGGTCACAAACAGAACTGGACAAGAACTGAATCAAATTTCCCCATAAGATCAACATTGAACCTAACTGCTGAAATGATTCAGTTCTTGTCCAACTCAATTTGCAAAGAGAATCATGGAAAGACTCAGGGTACCACTGTAATGACATGAACCTCAGGTCCACGTTACATAGAGCACTTTATTAGAGTAAGAAGCGTAACACTGCAGTCATGAAGGCCAGGACTCAGGGAACTTGTAAATGGATGACCTACCCATGGAAAGATGTTCAAAAGGAGTGGGATTGGCTTTTCATTTTCTGTGCTTTGTTCTTTAGTGAGCATCTTTTTGAAAAAACAAAACAGTAGAATTAGTACTTGTTAATTGGAAGTGGAGAAGTAATGGAGAACAAAGGGAAGATAGGAAGGAGAGAGTAAGACTGGCAGGCAGCATCCAGGATAACCTCTTGCTTTCTGGCTTGGGAAAACCGACCTAGCACATAGCACCACTCTGTGGTATATGAGGAACTATATAAGTGCCAGGAGGAGCTAAGAAGGGATAAAGGGGTGCTCCCTACCTTTGCTGAAACTCTGGTGAACCTCTAAAGGGGAAGAGATCCCTGGAAGCATAGCTTATGCGGAGTCTAGTCAGACTAGACTGGACAGCCTGCTTTTCCCATCTGCTGCTTTTCTGGAGTGCTTCTGCTATTGGGAATGTCCTGCCTGTTCATATCTTCCTTATCCATGTCATTATCAACTGTAACTTCTCTGTCCTGATTTTTTTGTCTCTCTCCAGTGTCTTAGTTACTTTCTCATTGCTGAGACATAATATCTAACACCTGTGGCCTACAATTTGTAGAAGTTTCAGTCCATAGTCAGCTGGCTCCAAGGCAGGGCAGATGATGGAGGTGACTTGCTTATGGCATGGCAGTGAAGCAGAGCAAGATCAAGGGAAGAGGAAGGGAGATACCCTTCTAGACCACAACCCCAGTGACTCACTTCCTCCAGGCTTCACCTCTTAACATCACATTTAGCTATTAACTCATCAGTAGATTAGTCCACTGATGAGTATCATGCCCCCATGATCCAGTCACCTCCCCACAACCCCATCTATGAGTACATGAGGCTTTGGGGAAACATCTAGATATAAACTTTAACACCCAATTAATATCATGTTTATTTGGTGGCCCGCTCTAATTTTAGTTTTAAGAATTAGGTTCTAATTGTGATTTTTAAAATTTAGATTCTTTTCCTGTAGCCACCACTGATCTGTATGACTGTGAATAGGACATTAAATCTATAGAGCCTTACTCCCATCCAATACAAAGAGAGTAGACTAAAATTTCTAATTGTCACCCTAAATATTACATGAATCTATGTTATCTTGGTTTCTATGGCGGTCTGTGTAGGCTGTGTCTAGGCTTTGGAGCCAGACAGACCTAGACTTGATTTCACTTCTATCCTTTTAATTGTATTTATGTCCTTGGACAAGTTATTTACTATCCTTATTTGCCAAGTAGATCGATAACTGTGTGCCTGGAAATGCCAAGCACAGTGTCTTCAGTAAATCTTACTTCTCTTCACCTTTGTTTTCTGAGGGCATGGACTATCTGTCATTGTTCTGAATAATATATGAAATGCCTTGTTAGATTATTAAAAAATTGTTCCTACTTTATTTACATGTGGGATTAAAATATGTTTACAGTGTTTGTCTCTCCCACTAGTATCTTTATTTTAATCTCTGTATCCTACTCTGTGGTCCATTAGATGCTCTGTGAAAGTTGGATGAGTGTGATTTTAAATATTTACCAATAAAAAAAGTAATTGTTTTTTTTTAGTGCAGTTCCTCATTAGCCTCTTTATAAAATTAACTCTTATGTTTTTCAGTTGATGAAAATTCTGAACAGGAACAGAAGCATAAAGAAACAAACAATAGCAATGCTCAGAATCCCAGTGCCGAAGTTCAGGGGGATGAACAGGAT